CACACCAGGCAGTAAACTTATTTATTTTTCAATTTAAGTGCCGGGTTGATAAAATATGAAAAGCTTCACACCAGGTAGTCAAGTTAGTTATTACTTTTCTTATATAATAAGTGCTGAGATGACAAAATTTGAAAAAGCTACATGCCAGGCAGTAAATTTAGTTATTATTTTACTTATATAAAAATATCTGCTAACTATAAAGAAAATAAGTGCATGCGTATTTTAACTGTTGGGCAGATTTTACGTTTTTTGCCTATGACTGCCAGGTATGCAGACACTGGGTTGTTGATATAAGGCAGTTATATATTTATCAGTTATATATATATATATATATATATATATATATATATATATATAAAATTTATAAATATATATGTTGTATATATGTTGAAATAAATGTATTTATAAATTTATATATATATATATATATATATATATATATATATATATATATATACATATATATATATATGTATATATATATATATATGCATATATATCAGGCCTTGTTAAGAATCGTTACGCAGCTCGCATTTTACCTGCGAAAACGCGATTTGCCTACGCATTCAGCAGTTTTGCGTTACGCAAAAACTTTAATCTTTTAGAATATTTAAATTATCATTTGGTATCGTTTATGTGACGTTTATTCAGAAGAAAATAAAGTCGTAAGTAAAAGCATTTAACCGCAATTGTAAACTAATAGATTTTTTGTTAAAGAAAAATTTGTTTAATTATTTTTATTGTTGTTGTTAAAAATTAGTTTAAAAAAATAAGTGTTTTAAGTTTAAACTTTTTATCATTTTTAATATTAAGTTTTATATTTCATAAGTTTAAAAACAATCAAATTTAAAAAAAGAAATATTTTCAATTTATTTTATTAAGTTTAAATATTTTTTTTATTAATTATAGTTATTAGTAAATAAATTTATTAAATTTAATTAAAATTCTTTCATTTAATTTTAAAACAGAGCATTTTAAAATTTTTTAATTTTAAAATGCTCCGTTTTTTTTATGATAAAATTTCCAAAGTAAAAAAAGATTTGATAAATTTAGTTCAAGTTATTTTAAAATGTTCGTATTACATATAAGTTTATTTTAATTTTAGTTAAGTTTCAGGTAAGTTCCAAATACTGGTCTGAATAATGCGCTTAACAAAAAGGCATTATTTTCCAGTTTTTATTTTTCCATTATTTTACAGTTTCATTCATTATTTACTGAAGCGCATTATTCATTTTATAACTACAAGTTAATAAATGACGTCAATACTTTTAAACTCGAGTTATAAATGTTATGTTTGAGTTTTCCCTTTGCCGTTTGCCGAAGAATTTTTTTTTATAAAACAAACCAAGGACGTATTAATAATACGTCTTTGAACAAACCAAAATTCAAACTTATTAAAAATAACGCGATCAGTAAATTAACTCTTTAAAAGCCCAACTTATCTTTATTTTATTTTAAAAACAAAACTAGTACAAGAGCTATAAATACAAGATACATAAATTTCAAAATTATAATGATATTTGTTAAAAACAAATTCTGCTTATAACATCTTAAAACCGAAAACACTATTTTTTTTTTTGGATTGAGTAAAAAAATATTAGGTTTCACTGTACATAAAAATAAAATATTTTAATGGAAATAAAAAAAAAACAAAGCCGAAAAAGCAATAAAATTCGTTTCTTTACAACATTTATTTTATCATAAGTAAATTTAATCTCTTTAGCATAAGTACATTTAAATCCCTTTAAGAAAATCAACCATAAACAAGTGTTAAATTTAAATTATTAAGAAAAAAATATTTAAAAAAAAACAACCATAAAACAATTGTTTAAAAGCAAAAAAATTAAGTTTAAATAAGTATAAGATTTTAATACAAGAAGACTTTTTTTTAATCAACATTGAAATTTTTTTTTTTTTTATAACAAAATTGTTCAATTTAACGCTATTTCGTTTCAAAGACTAACAGTAGTTTTTAATGTCATTTTAAATTTAATTACAATGAAGTAAAAACGCAACTGACGTAATTTAACTTTTAACAATGTAAATATCTTTATTGATAAAAGTTACATTTATTCACGTTTCGCTTTTCTGTTACGCAGCGAAATCTCATAACAAGGCCTGATATATATATACAGTGGTTTTCATAAATTTAGACGCACTCATATTTGAGAATAGAAATTTTTAGTTTTTTAACGATAAAACAATGACGAAAAAAGATTTCGGTTTAGTTTTTTTTCTATTTATCAGATAAATACATACAGAATACAAAATTTAAAAAAAGTTTACAAAAAAAATGAAATACTAAGTAATAATTAGGTACAACTACATGGTATTAAAAAAATTAGACAAAAAAAATTATTCATAAATTTAGACGCACGATACATTAGAAGGCGTAATTTATGAACCAATCAATATTTTGTGTATCCGCCTTTTGCTTTAATACAACTAAGAACTCTTCTAGGCATAGATTCAACAAGATTTTTGCACATCGCTTCTGGGACCCCATACCAGGTCTCCTTAAGGAATTCCTTCAGCTGACCAAGTGTGGAAATTTGAACCTTTGCTAATTCATGATCAATCCAAGCCCAAATGTTTTCAATCGGGTTCAAATCAGGTGAATATGGAGGCCACGGTATTGTCATAATATTATTATCGTTGAACCACTCCTTTGTATAGTAAGTAGTATGTGCAGTAGCGCTATCTTGTTGAAGTTTCCATGGTTTATCATTGAGCATAAGCAGGTCAATTGATGGAATTAGGTTGTTTTCCAGTACTTCTACGTATATTCTGGAGTTGATTCTTCCAGTGTATGTTTGGCACATACCAACACCTTTGTAATTGAAGCATAACCAGATTCCTATCGAGCCTCCTCCACTTTGTACAGTTGGTCTAATGTACCTGGCGTAATACTTTTCGTGAGCCATTCTTTTGACTGTTATGTTAGATTTGCGATTGATAAGCTCAAAGTTACTCTCATCACTCCACATAATGTTTTCCCATTGATCTATTGTCCAATACCTTCTTTCACGACACCATTTTAGTCTCCTTTGTTTATCATATGGACGCAGAAGCGGTTTCTTCAAAGCAGTGTAGACTCCAATCTTGTATTTGATAAGTATTCGGCGGACTGTGCTTTGAGAAATAGATGTATTTTGCGTTGTATTGAATTCTGTGGTCAATTCTTTGTAACTAATTCTTGGATTAGCTCTGACAGCTCTAAAAAGAACACTATCGTCCTTTCTCATGGTTGACAAGGGTCTACCTGGCCTCGTTTTCTCGCTGGCACCACCAGTTTGAAGAAAGTTTTGTTTCGTTGTCCGACCGCATTTCTCAGAAACTCCAATTAACTTGGCGATTTCTCTATTACTTTTGGTTCCTTCTTTGATGTGCGCAATAATTTGCCATCTTTCACCTTGAGTGATACATCTTTTGCCCATTTTTTACGTTTTTTTAGTGCAAAACTAACTTAACTTTTGTTTATTTATTAAATAATGATTAACTATTTCCAGGTAAGTCATATTTATATAAGGTTTTTTGACAAAATCAATTAATTTAGGCCTATTAATGAGAAATATAAGAAAAAAACTACTAATTAACTATCAATTAACAAGATATAAGACTTTTTTAGTTGTGCGTCTAAATTTATGAACAAAATAAAATCAAGTTTATCAATTAACTTTTTTGTGTTAATCGGTATAGAATGAGTAATAAACATCCTGTAAAAAAAATTAAGGTACTCTATAAAAGAGTTTCATTTCCTCTTTTAAATTATATATCAAACATAGCGGTAGCACTTTTATTTATTTTATGAATGCGTCTAAATTTATGAAAGCTTCTGTATATATATATATATATATATATATATATATATATATATATATATATATATATATATATATATATATATATATATATATATATATATATATATATATATATATATATGTATACACATATATATGTATGTATATATGTATGTATAAATGTATATATATATATATACATTTATATATATATATATATATATATATATATATATATATATATATATATATAAATGTATATATATATATATACATTTATACCTACATATATACATACATATATATGTGTATACATATATATATATATATATATATATATATATATATATATATATATATATATATATATATATATATATATATATATATATATATATATATATATATATATATATATATATATATATATATATATATATATATATATATACATTTATACATACATATATACATACATATATATGTGTATACATATATATATATAGAATCAAACCAGGTCTTGATTCGCAATTCGAATTACGTTTCGAATTAACATTTTGAAGTCTAAATTTAAGCATTTTTTATTTAATAATATATATTTCAAAATAAAATAAAAAAAAACAATTGTATAGTCTCTTTATTGATGCTTCTTGCCCTGGTTAACCTTTTAATGAATGTTTAAAAAGGTATTTAAGGATAAGTAATGTTATTTTGATAGTGCCAAAGTGCAGAATATCTAAAATACCCACAACAAAAACAAAATAAGTAAGGATTCGAATTTATAACAAAAACAAAATAAGTAAGGATCTCAAATCATATTTTTAATTCGATTCGAAATTTCGAAACTTCGCAGGGCCCTAATATATATATATATATATATATATATATATATATATATATATATATATATATATATATATATATATATATATATATATATATATATATATATAATATATATATATATATAATATATAATATATATATATATATATATATATATATATATATATATATATATATATATATATATATATATATATATATATATATATAAATATATATATATATGATCCAGTTGTAAAATAAGATTTTTGATATAATGTATGTAATCATGTTGTGACAATATTTAAGGTTTGAATTCTAATATCTTACCTTTAGGACACCTCTAATATGCACACTTGTTTTGTATTTCAGAAAACAGATAAAGAGCTTGTTGTTAAGCAGTGTAATAGTGTACTCTCTGTGCAGAGTCGCAGACGATGGAATGATGAAATCAAATTATTAAAAAGACTAGAAAGACACAAAAATCTAGTTGAAGAACGTGATGTTCCAGAAGAGATAATTAAAGCACTGGCATCTCCTGAGAATTTGTTGGGGCTTGAGTCATGTGAATGTGATTTAAGGGAGGTAAGGAAGTAAAACACTTTTTTGTAATCTAACTTTTTATTGTTTGCATTTTTTTGAAAATTAATCTAAAATCTAAATTTAATTTTAACCTAATATATAGAACATAAGTTTTAAAATATTTAAATTGGGTATGCCTTATATTGATTTGAATGACAACACTATAACTGAGTCCTCTACTTTAGGTCTTCTTATTTTATGAATAACTACTAACTACTCTTATAATGATCACATGCATATTTTGTTATTAGCTTTTTTATAAAACGAAAAAAGCAAATAAAATAACTTAGCAATAATCATAATTTTGTCATGAGAAATGATGTCATATCCATCATACTAATATTGTTATGGTATTCACATAAATATTACTAGAATGATGTTGTGGCATTCACATGAATGTTACTTGTGGCATTCACTTAAATGCTGCTAGAATGATCAAAAATGTCTTGTCTTAAAAAATATGCTAATGTTATCATAATGATCACACCAATGGTATCATAATGACCATACTAGTGTTAATATATCTGACCATAATGTGAACATAATAGCTATACTTACTTTTTATCAACAAACTCTCAACAAATTATTAAATTATTACAAAAGTTTTAGCAGAACAATCTAGAAAAAAAGGGGAGAGTCATATGAAAATAATAACTATCATTATAAAATTTTATAAAAGAATTAATTTTAATATCTAGGCAAATGCATTATTAGCATGGTAATTAGGTGCAATGTTCTCACAGCGATAAGGGAATAGTCATCTAAGGCTCAAATTTTCCTCAAATATTTTTTTTGGTTTTTGATCTTGTTGAATTTTTTTTAAACACCGTAACCTAAATAGAAAACTTCAAAACAAAACAGTTAAATCAAAAAGGCTTTTAGTTGTTAGAAAAATTTTAAAGTTTTTTAATACATACACGATCCTTAAATGTACAATCCGCAAACAAAACTTACCTAATGTCAGTTGTACTGATGTTTACACCTACAAATGATTGTACATGGCGTTATATAAGTGGATTTTTTACAATTGAATATCATATATCGTGTATTGCATTTTACATTTTCATATAACATCTCTATTAATAATAATATTCTATTTAAATAGTAATTTATTTGAATATAATTTTTATGCTTTTTTTGTTTTGTTTTTTTAATAAAAAATTGTGTTACAGGCATTAGAATATAATGCAAAAATATAATTTTAAAGGACATATTACCTCAAGTTTAATTGTTCCAAAAGCCACAAGCGTGTACTAACACAATTGAATTCAGCATTATTAATATGATTATACTATTATATAATATTACTATAGTATCAAAATTATTATTTTCCGGGTTTTTCTTAATGAGGTACCCCTTAAAAAAAATATGCCATGGAACTAAATTGGATTCCCCAGCCTCTGTGCATCATACATATGTTAATATAAAACTTTACTAATAATTCTATGTAAAAAATTATTAAAAGTTAAATGTTTATTGATATATTTTAGTTCTTTATTGTTTCTTTTCTGGTGTTAATTACAAATTCATGAGTATTCCTCCATCATTGGTTGTTACAAAAATATAACAGTTTATAAATTTGCCCAATGGTGGTGGCGCCAAGCAAAAAGTAGTAATTCCCTGTCTATTTGTTGTTTGAAAAATACACAAACTCTTTTTAATAGTCCTGTATTAGACGCTATTGTGTCACAGCACATTACTTGTACTTTGCCATCAAGGTTCCAGTCATAAAAAGCATTTAACACAGCTTTAACTTGGTCTTGGTCGGAAGAGCTATCCAGTTTGGGTACAGCCAGCAGTTGTTTCTTTTCTCCAAATGAAACTAGAATTGCCAAACTTACTTCTATAGACCTTCTTATATCTATTCCAGGTAATAATTTCCCATCCCAGTGAAAGATCACTTTTTCAGTGATTATTCTTAAAATCTGATTTTATAAATTTTGCTTTATATTTTACACTTTGTGTGTTAATGCATTGAATGTACAATTTATTTATCAAGAAATCATCTCAGCTCAGATCTTCTACTAGATCTTCTTTTCTCTCGTACTTCTACTACATCCTGACGTATATAGACAGAATCCTTTATGATTAAATGTGTTAAAGTTCTTCCTTCCTCTTTTCGTTTTAGTTTCAGAACTTATCATTTGAGAGGTTGACAGTAAGGGTTCCTCAAGGTTTCATCATTTTTTTACAAGTTGGGTATAGCTATGGTAAGGATTCTAGCCTTTTCCCAAAATACAATACACTCTTGAATGCAAGATTTGCACTTTCACTAAAAGTCAATTTAATTTCGCAAATGTTATAAAAAAAGTACTGCAAGAACTTAGCAGTTAAACAGTGACTTTGCACCTGTTATTTGATAATTCACGTCACCAACTAAGAAAATATTTTTTTAATTGCTTCTTAATTCCACTGCCATTTCTTAAATGTAAAGCAATATGTGTTATTCATGAGAATAACTAAATCAGGGTTTTCTAAAAATGCAGGTTTTCATAAAGTGGTTTTTAGAATGTTGCAAAATTGATAATAACTATCTATTTATAATTATTGTAAATAAATAATTATCTATTTAATATTATTAATTATTACCAATTTATCAAGATAATTATTATCTTTTTTGCTTCATTGTAAAAACTGCTTTTAGCAGTTTTTACAATGAAGCAATATATATATATATATATATATATATATATATATATATATATATATATATATATATATATATATATATATATATATATATATATATATATATATATATATATATTTATATATATATATATATATATATTTATATATATATATATATATATATATATATATATATATATATATATATATATATATATATATATATATATATATATATATATATATATATATATATAGATAGATATATAGATATATATAATATATATATATATACATAAATATATATATATATACATATATATATATATGTGTATATATATATATATATATATATATATATATATATATATATATGTATATATATATATACATTTATGTATATATATATATATATATATATATATATATATATATATATATATATATATATATATATATATATATATATATATATATATATATATATATAGCTTGGATTATATATTTGATATATATATATATATATATATATATATATATATAGCTTGGATTCAAATCAACAAAAAAAATATGCAAAATATATAGCGGAAAAGTTGTTGTTTTAAAGTTGTTCAAAAAAAGAAAAAATACAGTATGTTGAAAATTCAGTAGATTGAAAATTTAGTAGGACAAAAATACAGTAGATTGAGGTTCTGGGTTTACAACTTTTCTGTAACTCTTGTGCAGCTGAGCAAAAGTTACGAAAAGCTTACTCAAATTATTTTTTGCATAACTATTCACAACTTTTTCGCAGCATTTGTGTAAAGTTAAGGTTGCGCAAAGTTACGCAAAAATTTAAGGCAATATTTTATAACTATTTGTATAAAGGAAGTAGTTGTTATTACTAAACCCTTTTTTATTAAGACAAACAGAGCAAAGTGAACAAACAGTTAATGCATCTTTTTTTAGAGGCAGGGCTTACATTTATTTAGACTTTCATTATATTTTTTTTGTTGTTGTTATATTTAAAAATATAGCAAAAGCATATAGGGGCTATTCAGATAATGCGTGATATTCTAAAATAGGTGGTGGTGGTGGTGGTGTGTGTGTGGGGGGAGGGTGTTTGAGAGTGTCACTAAATATGATATGGGAGAGGGGGTGGTTAGCCACAGTGTGACATGACAAAAGTTTTGAAATTTAAATTCTAATCACAGTGGATTATTAAACTATAAGCAAAAAAAGTAACAAATTCAAAGATATATTTGTTTGAAATTGTTACATCACGAAGAGGGCGGGGAAGGATTGTTTATAATGTCACATATACAGAGGGAGATGGGGGTTGGGGAGGTTTAATCTAAAAACTCCAAAAAAAGTGTCTCGTAGTATTTGACTAGCCCCATATAGCATATACAAGCAGTTACTTTTAAAAGTAATAGCATATATAGCATAAACAGTCTTTCAATCTTTTGTGAATATCTGTTAGAAAAATAATCAATAATCAAAAATTAAAAAAATTTACTAAATAAGAGTTGGTTGGTTTTTTAAATAAGATATTAGTTATTAACAAAATGCTTCACTATCTATTATTGTAAATATAAACATTACGTGCACTCAATAAAAACTAATTGGGGCATATTTACTCAAACCCAAATGGTTAATATAAATTGTATTATTCTGAGCTGAATGCCCATTGGTTTTATTTAATCATTCAAAGCCTCTTCTTTTTTTTTATAAATCATTTAAAGCCTCTGCTTTTTCCTTATTCTTTCTTAGAAGTGATGAACCTAGAGTTTATTTTTAAGACACCCTTTAATGTGGCGAGTTATAAAACCCTAACCTGCCGCAAACCTTTTTTGTAAATATCACTGGCTAAATGAAGTAACTAAAATATAGCATTTAAAAGAACTTTTTTTTTCTATTTTTAATATAAAAAGAAAAAGATAAACAATAAAAAATTAATATTTTTAGGCATTTTTTTAGCGCCCATAACGGTCCTATTGTACCAAAAAAAGGTCTGCGTTCAACTGCTCAGATCATGCAACTTGTCTAGCATAGCTTCAAGAAGATAAAACAAAGTACTTTAGTTTAGCATAAAATTTCACATTCATAAAATAATGGAAGGGCTAATCTAAAGTATTTTGTTTTAACTTCTTGTTTTAACATTCTCACACACTAGGGTATTAGAAAAGAACATAATAGTTGTCAAATTTTCTTTTCAGTGGTCTTGTTTTATCACATAATTGACTTGAATCAACAGCACTTTTATTTGTTATATGGAATAACAGTTTCATTAAATAAAGAAATTGCTTCAATAAGTTCAAGAAATACTATTGATTTCATTCTAGTTAATTTATAAACAAAAAGAAACTAAAACTATTTATAAATAAAATTCA